CTGGTTCCTGCCCCAAGAATCCAGTGGAGGGAGAGCTTGTCATACTTCCTCATTACAAGAGCAGTGTTTGAAATGGGGTGGGGCTTAAGAGGGGAGGATATTTCAGGCCATGATAGGAGGCAAAGGCATTGTTTCTTGGGGAATATGGGTCCTAGAAAGGGTCCTCTCAGGGTGGGTGCAGGGTTGCTGCATGGACCTCTGGGATAGGGTCCCTAAAAAGTCAAGCTGTGGGTGGGGAACCTTGGGAGGGAGGAAATAAGAGAGGTAGAAAGCCGTAGTGAACGTGAGGACTCAAGCCTTAGTTAAACAAACATGCAGCCTGGAAGGCTGATGTCAGGATCTCTGAAAAAAAGTCAAGTGCTCTATTATAACTGGTGTGTATCAATGAGACCTGCCTCAGATCAAACAGTCCAGGTCCCTATGAGGTCCCCCAGCACCCAGGAATGAATAGCAGGTGCCATGTGACACTGCCAGGAACAAAAGGGAGATCCCCTCACCCACCCATGCCCTGGGCAATGAAACTGAGGCTCCCCAAGGGCTGTGGGAGTTAAAGGACAAAGGATGTGGGGGAGAATTTCAGCCGGGAGAGTGGAGGGAGAAGGGCTCAAGGACTGCAAGCAATGGACAGGGAAGTGGGGGCCTCTGGGAACATGAGTCCTCCACACCTTCGGCCCCTCCTTCACTCAGAGGGAGAAGACATCAGAACGGTCTTGCAAAACTTGGTAGGGGAAGGAGCCCCGGACTGGGACAAGACTGTTCCAGGTTCTTTATGGTACCAGATGAAGGACTGGGTGTAGGGCAAAGGGAAAATTGGTATTATTGAGTGGAGAGAGGCTGTGCAATCTACTCCTCTTCTCACTAAACATCTCTTTGCTGACTCCCGTCCTCCTCCACCCAGATCCCCTTTAACTGTCTAAAGTCCCAGGTTTCTCACTTGGACTTCTGACATCCCCCAGGAGCGAACCAGAGCGTTCATAAGACCATCAGTTTAACGCCACACGGGTCCTTTGAGGGCGTTTAATCCAAACTCAACTTTTACAGATAAGGAAACTGAGACCCAGAGAGGTTGTGGAGAAGTAGCCAGGGATAGGAGGCCAGCCTTAGAATCCAGAGACCTGACACTTAAGCTGTGTGGCAATGGTCCAGTCACTTACCCTCTATAAGCCACAGTTTGGTAGGGGAAGGGAGCCGGAAAGGAGGCAAGACTATAGTTTGGTCATGGGCAAATCACTTAGCCAGAGAGTGCCCCAGGCAACTCTCTAAGATTATAAATTACAGGGAGATTGGCCATCTACATCAGTGGAGGGACTTCTCACACTGGGAGTTCCTTACACCCATGAAGTCATGTCTGGACTAAAAAAATGGAGTTGTTTCTAGCGGAGGAGAAAATCTACTTGTCTTGTTGTTTTTCTTGTGGAGCTTTTAGTGGCCTGTGAATTTCATTAGAAGCTTTGGGCAGGGACAGCTAGGTAGTGCAGTAGATAGAGCACTGGCCCTGGAGTCAGGAGGACCTGAGTTCAAATCTGACCTCAGACACTTGACACTTTCTAATTGTGTGACCCTGGGCAAGGTCTGTGTCTAGTAAACAAACAAACAAACAAGAAGCTTTGGGCAGCCATGGACTTGTCTGGTGGTTTGTTCTCGGGTACAGGGTAGCCTGATGTGGGATAGAACTCCCAGGTTCTCTTCTTGGCTCTGTCTTTGACTGTTCTGTGACCTTGGATAAGGTATCCAACCTCTCTCCCCTCCCCTTCTTACACCTTATGTGTAGCTTGGAAAAATATGTCTACCTCCCCTTATTTCATCCAAGTCTGTCCCCCAATTTCCCAGGACAAGTGAGGGAAAGATGTGATCTGCTTGGGAGACAGGTAACAAGGCAAACGGGCAGAATGGAGAGATGAGCCAGGCATACTTATGGAGTGTATAGAATCAGTTATGGAGGCCAGATCTGAGCCTCACTGTGGACTCTGGGTCCTTACACCTTCCCCACCCATAACCCAGTCAGGTGGGTTTCTCTTCATCAGTCTGTATCCCTTATCAGTGGTCTCTTCCTCTGCTATATTCTGGGAAGAAGAAAAGTCACTTAGAGGTTTCTCCTTGGCCCTGGCTGCTGGAGGACTCCTCTACAGTCTGAGGGACCTAGGAGATCCAGCTAATCAGGGGTAGGCTGGGGCTGGGGAGATTTAGGGTGAGGGGCTGGTCTGAGATGAAGTTCTCATCCCATTAGGGGAGTGGGATGGTGGCGGTAACTGGTAGCCCAGGACATTTTACTAATGATTTCTCCTGCCCTCTTTTGCCTCCTCATCACAGTTTTCTGATTTTTGGCCCTTGTTGAATTTCTAGAGATTGCTCCTTTACACCTATAGAATTCCAAGAGTTATTCTTTTCCCCATCTTTCTCTCACCCCTACTCTGCCATCACTTCTCCAACCTGATATTAAAGGAGCTGTTAGAATCTCTTTTCCTGAAGACTTTCTCTTAAAATTAAATGAAAATTTTTTCCATGAAGAGAAATCTATTTTTTCCTTCTTTCTATTCTCCCTCCCTGGCCCCCCCCCCCACTGGAAAGAAAGGACAAAAAAAACCCCTCTTGTAACACATTTCAGCAGTCAAAGAGAACACATTTCTGTATTGGCCTCATTCAAAAAATATACCTCATTCTTTATCTTGTTCCCTCAAGAATTTTGTGAACAAGGGTCTCAACTAATCCTACCTGGAGTCAGGGTATGGATGACCTCAGAATCAGTCTCTAGCCCAAGAAAATTAAACCAAAGGGCCAAAAGACAAAGATTGACCATTCCTTGGGATATGGACCTAACCCTGGAGATCTCTTTCTCTCATAAAGGGGGAATAGGAATTGGAGTCTGGTGGGAACAAATAGCGCCAGTCCTGATTTTGGGGAACACTGAAGCCTTACTCCCGGCCGTGTCATTGGGGTATCAGTATAATTATCAGTGTAATTCAGGTATAGGTTTGGGAAATAGGGCCCAATGCTTTAGCAAAGGAAATGTCCAAGGAGGGAAGAAGCCTTTCAAAAGTTTGGCTGTAGTCAGCTCCTGGCTGTTAACCCCTGACCTCAACGGGCTTGCCTCTCTGGCTGCTAATCAGTGGGTCACTGAGAACAGCCAAGGGCAGCCCAGTACAGTAGTCACTCTTCCCATCTTCTGTTCAAAGATCTAGCAGAGATAATTGTTGTTGTCTTCTTCAGTACAACTACCTGATTTTGCAATTTGTGCAAAAGCTCAGGAGATAGAAAGTGACTTGACCAAGGTCATATGGCTGATCTAAAGAAGAGTTGGGATGTGAAGCCTCTTAGTTCTATGTTCTTTCAACTATGACTACTTTCTGCTACACAGTCTTCATTGGCTCTTGAAAGCCTTCCATTCTGTTGTCCCTTGTGAAGATCCTGCCTTGCTGAGGCCCTCACCTGGAATTTAGAACCCTTGGCTTCTGCTCTGACTGTGCAGGCTATTGCTGATGTCTTGACCCCTGGGTTTCTTCTTCTAATGGGGGGATGGATCAGGCACTTCCTTGTCTATCTGACTTCTCATAAATCATCTGCATGAGTTAGAAAACATCTGCTTGTAATGAGAAAGGTTTTGGGGGTGGGGAGGAGGTTGGAGAAGAAACATACTGGGATTATGTGGGCTGGCCAGAGGTTAAGAATAATAATTATTATTATAGCTAGCATTTTAAGGCTCACAAATCACTTGACAAATATTATCTCATTTTATTCCTCACAATAACCCTGAGAGGTAGGTGCTATTTTCATCCCCATTTTACAGATGAGGAAACTAAGCAGACAGTTTAGGTGGTGACTTGCCTAGGGCCACACAGTTAGTAGATGTCTGCGGCTGGATTTGAACTTGGGTCTTTCTGATTCTGAGTCCAATGATCCCAAGAAAAAGGGAAGAGATGGAGTCTAGGCTCAAGTCTGAAATCTCTGACAACCACCCAGTGGTTTTGCCCTTCCTTTTCCCCTGTCTCCAAGAAGCTTTCAGAAAATAAGTTGGTAGCTCTCCTTTCTTCCCAGGCTGGAGGGAATGGGGAGGGGGATGAAGTCCCTTGCATACTTCTTCCCTAAGAATCACTTCCTTTCCCACTTAGAACCATAGACTCATAGAATGTCAGGACTGGAAAGGAATCATAGAAGTCATCTAGCCCACTCTATTGCAGTATGGTATGGTGGAAGATCATTGGAACTTGGAACGTTGAACTTGAGAATCACAGGACCTGAGTTTGTTTCCTGGCTCTGCCCTTTACTATCTGTGTGACCTTGGGCAAGTCACTTCATGTCTGGTCCTCAGTTCCTTTATCTGGAAAATGAAAAAGTTGGGCTGGATGACCTCTAAAGCCCTTTCCAGCTCTATATATCTATGATAATATGATTTTACAGGGAAGGAAACCGAGAAAAGAAACCTCTCCTCTCAGAAGGGAAGTACCTTGTTCAGCATGGCTCTGTCACTTGGTGGTAGAGCTAAACCCTGGCTCCTCCTTGAATGTTCTTTCCATTATCCTTTCTATCAATTAATCTGCCAGTCAACAAGCATTTATTAATCACCTACTATCTACTACGCGCTGTTTTCATTCATAGGAGACTCACCGCCTTTTACCTAAACAGCCATAACTCAATATAAACAGAGACAGCACCAGCTAGAGGTGTAGAAAGGGCGTCCTTAACCCAGAGCAATGAAATGCGTTGCCTACCTATGCCGAGTGACTCTAGCTAGCACTGATTATAACAGAGGGCACTGTCAGAGAAGGGCACAGCACCCCCTGAGAATGGTGGGAGGGGATAGGGAAGCTGGCTCTGGGGCAATGACTACAAACTGCTGCTGTCCTTTCCACCTGAGCTCAGGTTGGCACAGTCTGCCAGCCCGTGCCCGGCCTCTCTCAGCCCCCCTGCCCTCCCCATTACTTGGTATCCTGTCCCCCTCCCATGCCCGGTGCCCTTTGTACTGGCCTATTGAAGAGGGGTGGGTTGGGATGGGGGCTGCTTACCAGTGAGGGAGCAGAGTGGGGCAGGGCTCCAGGCAGCAGAGAGGTGTTCCAGGAGGTGTGTGAAAGGACTGTGCTCAAATATTCCAGGGAGGCGATTTATAAATAACCTCGCCCCTGGCCTGGAGGGCCAACCTCAACACCTGATTGGCTCTGAGAGTAGTGGTTATGAACAGTATACCACAGCTCAGCCCGAGGAGATAGGAAAACGAGATAAGCAGAGAAGGTCCCAAGTGAACAACCCTGTTGTTGTTTCACCTGGGGAGAAGGCCTGTTTGATGCTAGCCTGGCACTTCCTAAATCCACCCCGGAGACAATAGGTCACATTCAGCTGGGGGGCCCGCCCCGGAGGCTCCCCCAGGGCGGCAGGCCTAAGAGAGGGAGGGTGGCTGAGGCAGGCTCCTTGGAGAGCCCCCCTCCCTCTCCTGCCCTGGGACTGGGGTCACCAGGCCAGAAGGGCCTCTTGGACAATGGGGCCCATTGAGGCCAGAGGGTTTATGTGTGTGTAAGGGAGGGGGGTCTCTCAGCTGTTCTGCTTTGAAGATTGGGGAGCCTAGAGGAAGAGAGTTTGCTCCGGGTTTCCTGGTATCAAGAAGAAAAGGAAAAAAAAAACATAGGAGGCCCCAAGAAAGCCCCGGGGAAGCTTTGGAGCTAGGCTGAGAACTCTGGGTGAAGAGTTTGGAGACCTGGTTCTGGGTCCCTTTTACTTCTGACCTTAAGCTAGGTTCTTAAACTATCTTGTCCTTAATTTTTCCACAGGTACAATGGAAAGAATTATCTTTGTCCCCCTTGATTTTCCCAAAAGAGTTCAAATGAAAGATGAAATTATAGTGAGAAAGAGATTGGGACATAAGGATTTAAAGAAACACAAATTATATATAGGATATTCTTAAGGTAAGCTGACCTTCTAACCATGATGCCTCTGGACTCTGCTGTTCTTGTAAGGGGGGGTTAGGAATTAATTGCCCCTCTGAGCCACAGTATTAGTTAGGGGAATGTATTCTTCCCTTTGAAATATTTTCCTTACCATAGCTAGAGTTGCCTATTATTACTTACCTTAGAGAGTTGTGAGGAAAGCTCTGTGTAACCTTAAGATGCTATATAGAATCATAGATTTAGTGCTAGAAGGGACCCCAGAAGGCTTTGAGCCCAACCCCTCATTTTATAGATGCAAAAATTAAGGCCTGGAGAGATTAATTGATTTGCCCAGAGTAACATACCTAGTAAGGGATTGAGGTAGAATTTGAACTGAGATCTTCCTGATTCCCCATTCAGCATTCTATCCATTACACCACCAAGTTGTAAGTTATCATTATTAGTACTAAATCCCTAATTCGGAGCTTTAGAAGACTCTAGAAAAAGGCACATATACTGAGGGGCTCAGGTGGAGGGAGGAGGAAAGGGTACAGGTGATACTGTCTCTGCCTCTTAGGTGAGAGACACATAGTTTGACGCTCAGACCCAAGTCATGTCTCCTGTCCCCAGTCAGCAAGATAAGGCACTACTCTTGTTCCACCTTGTCCTTACAAGTAGACTGTCTATTGATGGATGTCCTAGAACACCAGAGGACCCTCTAGATCTCAGGCAGTAAACAGGCAATCCTGTTTACTGGGTAGGGGTCTAGGGTGAAGTTTTAAGAGAGAAGTAGGTAGAGAACAGATACCTGAGGAGATCCTAACATAGAGTTCGCTTCCTACAAAGTTATGGTGGGAGTCTAAATTCAGGTAATGGGGGTGGTAGAGAGGAAGAACTGAAGAGAGAGAGGAAATTCACTAGAAACAGATGTGGAATAAAGACACCTCAGACTTAGCCTGGCATTATCTTTTTCTTTTTTTTGACAGAAATCGAAAGAAGATGCCAAAAGACGTAGAATATCTGTATTCAGCAAGGAGCTTGACAGACTCTCTGATCCAACTTATTTCTTTTCCTCCACACAGCTGTCAAAGTGAAATTCCTAAAGCCCGGGTCCTGCTGTGGCACTATCAGCTCAGTAAACTCCAGAGGCTCCTTAGTACATCTAGAATCAAGTTAAAAATTTTTAATTGGCCTTTAAAAGGCTTCACAATCTGCCTCCAGGTTCATAATACATCACTCCCTTTCATGTATCTCCTTTCCAGCCAAACAGACCACCTTGCTGCCTCTGGTGCATAATTCTCCCTCTCCCACCTCAGTTCCTCTGCACAGGCTGTCTACCACGCTTAGAAGGCTCTTTCTTCTTCCTTCTGCCTCTTAGAACACCTTCAAGCCCAGCTGAAGTGCCATCTTCTTCAAGAAGCCTTGTCTAATATCCCAGCTGGTAGTACTTCATCCCCTGAAGTCACTTTGTCTTTTACTTGCCTTGTCTCCTCCCAGTAGAATGTAAACTCCCTGAAGGCGAAGATGGTCTCACTTTCGTATTTTTGTTCCCAGAGACAAGCTGAGTGCCTGGACCATAGAGTGGTTTGCCATTTCCTTTGTCTAGCTCATTTTACAGATGAGGAAACTGAGGCAAACAGGATGACTTGCCCAGGGTCACACAGCTAGTAAGTATCTGAGGCCAGATTTGAACTCGGGAAGATGAGTTTCTGACTCCAGGTCTGGTACTCCATTCACTGTGACACCTAGCTACCCATCTCTGAGGGAAGGGTCTTTCTTACTTTTCTTTGTGTCCACTTTAGATTAGCATTTTTCCTCATGCATGATGAGTGCTTGGTAGAGACAGGATGAAAGAATTGATTTATCCTCCATTTTTCACTATCAATCTAGGCAACAAATACCCAGAGAGTTCTAAACTTGGAAGCCTAAAGACTGAGGGTCCGATACTGATTCTGACATTTATTTACTGGGTGACCATGGGCAAGTCATTTAACTTAAGTCAGCTTCAGTTTCATCATCTGTAAAATGGAGATAATGATGTCAGTAGCTTTGACCTTTACTGGGCTGTTGTGGAGATCAAGTGAGATAATGTATCTTAAGCTCTTTGCAAGATTTAAAGTGAGAGGTAGCCTTACATAGTGGCTTGAGAGGTGGCCTCGGGGTCAGGGAGAAGTAGGATTATGTTTGGTATTAGACACATACTGACTGTGTGACCTTGAGTCAGTCATTTAAATTCTCAGGGACCCAGGCAAGTTACAGGACAGAAGCTGTTCTGCATTAGAAATTAGAGCTCCCTCACCAGGTTTTCCTTCCACTGATGAAATCACAGCTCTGTTCTAAAAATAAAAGGTTATTTAATTGCCACCTCTTTATTATTATTATTATTATTATTATATTATTATTATTATTATTATTATTATTATTATTGTTAGCAGTCCAGAGACAGGCAGAGATACAGAGATAGCTGGATAGCCAGAAGCAGAGAGAGAGAGTGTGACACACACACACACACAGAGACACATACACAGAGAGACGCACAGACAGACACAGAGACACACACACAGACACATAGACATACAGATGGACACACACAGACACAGAGACACACACAGAGACACAGACACACAGACACAGAGACACACAGACAGATACACACACACATACACAGAGACAGAGACACAGACACACACAGGCACACACAGACAAAGAAACAGACAGTGTTCTCCTTCCCTGCCTCGTGCCCTGATAGGGTCCTGTTTGGTTAATCTGCCTTCTCCCAAGGTCAGAAAAAGGCCTGGAAGGCTACGTGTGCTTGTGTGCTCAGAGCCATAAACCCCAGATGCTTCCACCTAACCCTTCAGAATTACTCCAAGTGCCTCTCCCTGTCTGGGCTCTTCCTAGGCTTTCTCTGGGCTCTTTGCACATCCTGGGTTTTTTCTTGTCTCTCATATTCTCTGCCACCCTTCCAGCTACACTTCCTTCACCACATTTGGAAGAGGGAGGCACTACACACCTGTCCTCTGACCTCAAGCTAGGTGGAGACAGATTTCAGAACAGTGGTTCCAGATTCTCCACAAGGATCCACCCGATCACAGATTTACAGGTGGAAGGAACTCTAGGGGTCATCTAGTCAGATGGTGTTTAACTCAAATAGAAAGGGGGTGGGGTTACTGTGTCATAGATAAGCATCCCTGTGGGCTGCACATTGACTTAGAAAACCACATATGAATTTTATCTGTGTTTTATTGTATTTTTTATTTATCTTGTTAAATATTTTCCAATTACACTCATATTGAGAGCCTTATGTTAGCTTACTGGCCCAGTGTTTGGCACCTCTGATCTAATCCAAGCCTCTCATTTTATAGATGAAGAAACTAACAGGTAGATTAGCCAATTTCCCTCAAAGTCCCACAGTTAGTAAATGGAACAGCTGGGACTAGAGCCCGGGTCCTCGGGTCCCAAAGCCAGTTGTTTCCCCACGCTTCACTGCCTCCCAAAATGAAGAGCTTACTTGCTGTGACTTGGATTTGAATTGAGATCTTTGTGGTCATAATACAGAATCGTTGTCCATAAAGGAGATGATCTCTGCTTGTCACAGTGAGCATCAGAGCTGAAGTGTTGATTCATATCGATTTGGAATAGTAATAAAGCTTATTCCTCACAGTACCTTTAAAGAGGATGAGGTGGGGAGTAACAGAATTGGTCGTAGAGTCGGAAAGGACCTTTGAAGTCACAGGATCACAGGTTCATAGGCTGAGGACTGGAAGGGACCTTGAAGATCATTTAGTCCAAACTCTTCATTTTACAGATGAGGGAAACTGAGTCAGAGAGGTGATGTAAGTGACTTACCTAAGATCACACAGTTCTTAAGTAAATCACAGAGCTGGGATTTGAATGTAGGTCTTGAGGCTCCAAAGCCAGCATTCTTTCCATTACACCAAATTCACACAGAATGTGACAACCACCAAAAGAGTTGGAAGTGACCATATAGAGAAGAGAAAGGGGAGCTTAGGAATTCAACATGCTTAGAGTTCTGGCTTGGTGTAACAGAAAGGTGGTGGCTGGGTCTGGAGTCGGAAGACTGAGGTTCAAATCCCAGCCTTGCTTCTAAGAAGTTTGTATAACCATAGATAGGTTAGTACCTGAGCCTCAGTTTCTTCATCTGTAAAACCAGTATAATTCCTGTTGTTTCC